TTTCTGTTAAACTCTCCCCGTTCAAACTGCGTGGTGGTTTCTTGATCCGCTTGAACCCAGACTCGTGGTGATGTGAGAATTGGAGGAGGCGACACAGGGCGCCTGCTCACCTCGGTGCCCAACACACGGGGAGGACTCGGGAGCCAGCTGTGACGTCACCATCCTCCCCTCACCCCCAGCACCGTCTGTCACCACCTGCATCACTGCCACAGGGTCACGGCCATCCTTGCCCTGCTCCTCCTCATCTTCATCAAAGCCACCGTTACCATGGTTACCACCACTGTCACCATCACCACCATCACCATCATCACCGCCATCACCACCATCACCATCACCGCCGTCACCATCACCGCCATCACCATCACCACCACCACCACCGTCATCACCATCATCACCATCACCATCACTGCTGTCACCATCACCACCACCATCACCATCATCACCATCACTGCCATCACCATCACTGCCATCACCATGTCACCATCACCATCACCACCACCACCATCACCATCACCAACATCACCATCACATCACCATCACCATCATCACCATCACCACCATCACCATCACTGCTGTCACCGTCACCATCACCACCACCACCACCATCGTCATCACCACCATCACCATCACTGCTGTCACCATCACCATCACCATCACTGCCATCACCATCACTGCCGTCACCATCACTGCTGTCACCATGTCACCATCATCATCACATCATCACCATCATCACCACCATCACATCACCATCACTGCCTTCACCATCATCATCATTGTCTTCATCGCCATCACATCGCCATCATCACCATCACCAACATCACCATCACATCACCATCACCGCCATCACCATCATCACCACCATCACATCACTGCCATCATCACCATCATCACTGCTGTCACCATCACCATCATCACCATCACCCACCACCATCACTATCACCATCACCGCTGTCACCAGGTCACCACCATCACCATCATCACCATCACCATCACTGTCATCACCATCACTGCCATCACCATCACCATCAACACCATCACCACCACCATCACCATCATCGTCACCATCACCATTATCACCATCACCATGTCACCATCATCACCATCACCGCCGTCACCATGTCACCATCATCATCACATCATCACCATCATCATCACCACCGTCACCATCACTGCTGTCACCACCACCACCACCACCATCATCACCATCACCACCACCACCACCATCACCACCATCACCACTGTCACATCACCAACATCACCATCACATCACCATCACCACCACCACCATCACCGCCATCACCATCACTGCCATCATCACCATCATCACCATCACCACCACCATCACTATCACCATCACCGCTGTCACCAGGTCACCACCATCACCATCATCACCATCACTGCCATCACCATCACTGCCATCACCATCACCATCACCACCACCACCATCATCACCATCACTGTCATCACCATCACTGCCATCACCATCACCATCACCATCATCACCATCACTGACATCACCATCACCACCATCACCATCACCATCACCGCTGTTGCCATCACCATCACCATCACCATCACCACCATCACCACATCACCATGCACACACCTCTAGTACAGCAGCTCTGTTGGCCGTGGCCCCACGTGGACACCGGCACTCAACTCCTGACGACATCGGTTACCCAGTTTTCCACAACCCACACAAAAGCCAGCACCACCGAGCACTTCCTGTGTCCTGCACATCGCTCCAAGTACTTACCTACGTTAACCCCCCAGTCCTCCCGGCACGCCTGTCGTCCTGCTCATCCTCTGTGGCTCCAGGACACCTGCCTCCCGCTTACAACGACCCCTGTGCCAACAGCAGCCCACCAGGACGATCCCGGCTGACCTGTCCATCCGAGACCCCTCACGGACTTGGTCACATTCAGTCTCTCTTACCATGGGGGCAGCTGGCTCCAGGTATTAGGAAGTGGGCGTCTTGAAGGTGGGGGGTTGTCATTGTTCAGCCTCCCGCACTTATGGAGGGGGGCCAAGCCAGGAGCTAAGAACTCCATCCCGGTCTCCCACGTGGGTGCAGGACCCCAAGTCGTTGAGCCATCACCTGCTGTGTCCCCAGGTGCATTAGTAGAGAGCTGGATCAGAAGCCTAGAGTAGCTGGAACTCAAACCAGGCACTCCAAAATGGGACGCAGGCATCCCGAGCCGTGGCTTAGCCTGCTGCAACACAGTGCCCACCCATTTCACAGATGAGAAAACTGAGGCACAAAGAGGCCAAGCACCTTCCCAAGGCCAAACAGCTCCGAAGCAGCAGAGCTCAGATACAAACCCGGGTGCCCGGCTTCAGAATCCCAGCTCTTAACAGTCATACAACCTTGTGCCTGAACGAGCGTCTGCACAGGTCAAGTTTTAGAAGCGGAATTCCTGGGACAAAGGAGACGCATGGACCAGCGCTTGGCAGACACTGCCAGCTGTGTGCCCCCTGCCAGCAGCGCCTGCTGCGTGGGGTCCCTGCCTCCCCTGCCCCCCAGCCCACGCAGCCAGAGGAGTTTCCCGACTTCTCACCAGCGGCAACACAGAGCCCCGGTTCCCTGCCCGTGGTTTGTTTCACCGGTTGTGGACGGCAGACGCTGCTCAGGGCTGGCGGTGCCGCCGCGCCAATTCCCCGGTGCACGGCCGGCGCTCTCCCCCACCGAGGCTCGGGGCTCCTCTTCCTGCCTCACCCCATCCCGTTTCCGGAGATTCCCAGGCGCTGAGCCCGCCCGCCCGGTCGCCCCCTTTTTCTTTCCTTGCATCCCGGTCCTGCCTTCTCTGGCAAGGCCTCCGGATTCGCTCCCCGTGTGCCCCCTGTGTGAGGCCGACCCCATCCCAAGCACTTCCCTGAAAGAGGAAGGCGCGGCCTGGCTCCCCCACGGACAGACCCAGGCGCCGGCCTCGCTTCTGCCGCGTGAAACCCTGCCCCTGGGGTCCCCAAGCCTGCCCGCCCCGGGCTGTCCCTAGGTGATGGTGAGGCTCGCAGGACACAGGGCTCGGGCCTCAGCTCCCTCACCTGTAAGATGGGTGCATCGCTGGCCCCTGCCCCCGTGACGGGGGGCTGGCATTACCCCCACGGTGCGGTGTGGACCACACGGATGCTCCGAGCGCGCCCGGCCCGCGGCAGGAGCCGGTGGCTCCACCGGGAACCTGGAGCAGCGCCCTCTGGTGGCCGCTGGCCGCCGCGCTCCCCGCCCAGCCCCGCAGGCTCGGCCCGCACCCGCTCCGCTCGTGCGCGGCCCCAGTCCCACCCGCGCCCTCCCCGCGTGGGGTCCTGTGCCCGCTGCGAGCCCGACTTCTGGCAGGCGCTGGGGGAAACTCCGCGGCCTGATCGCTTCCGTGTGAGCCCTGCGTTCTCAGAGCCCTGCCCTCCACCGCGACCACCACCCAAGGCAGCGCCCGCCGCTCCCTCCCTCCGCACCCTGCGGCCACAGGGCTCAGGCCGGCGCTCCGAGCTGCGCGAGGGTCCAGGCGCCGAGCCCTCCGCCCCGCGACGGCTGCCTCCTCCCCCTGCCCGGCTCACGACCACAGCGGTGTCACTGTTCTCCGCCCGCTCAAGTCGCACAGAAAGGTCTCTGGCTGTGGCTTCTTTTCTTTTTCAGGATTTACTGGTTGGGGGCGGAGCAGGTGAAGCCCCCGCCTGTGGTGCCGACATCCCATCTGGGCGCCGGTTCGAGTCCCAGCTGCTCCACTTCCGATCCAGCTCTCTGCTATGGCCTGGGGAAGCTTAGTGGAAGATGGCCCAGGTCCTTGGGCTCCTGTACCTGTGTGGGAGACCTGGAAGAAGCTCCTGGCTCGTGGCTTCGGATCAGCCCAGCTCCAGCCATTGTAGCCATTTGGGGAGTGAACCAGCGGATGAAAGATCCCCCCCACCCCGTGTCTCCTTCTGACTCTCTATCACTCTGCCTTTCAAAAAAGATGTATTGGTTTATTTGAAAGGCAGAGTGGAAGAGGGAGGAGAGAGAGAGAGAGAGGGAGGCAGGTATCTTCCATCCATGTACCACTGCCCACGTGGCCACAGCAACCTGGGCTGGTCCCAGCTGAAGCCAGGAGCCCAGAACTTCGTCCTGGCCTCCCACGTGGGTGGCAGGGACCCAGCACTCGGGCCATGTCTGCTGCTTCCAAGGATGCGTTAGCAGGGAGCTGGATTAGAAGTGGAGCAGCGGGGGCTTGACCTGGTGCACTGTTGAGGGCTGTGAGCCTTGCAGGTGGAGGCTCAACCTGCTGTGCCCCGCGCCCGCCCCTCTGGCTGTGACTTCCCTTCTGTCCCCCGCAGGGACGTGGGGGACGTGGACAGGGAGAGGAGACCGGGTGTGCCCCGAGGGCTGCTCTGTGCAGGCGGGGCGCTGGCATCAGTCACCCCGGTTAGTAGGTGAGGGTGCTGGGCCCCCAGGGAGATGGGCGACTGAGCTGCAGAAGCACAGGCAGGGCCGGGGCTGCTGGGCCCTCCACGCCCTGTGCCTCCACCTCCACCCTCCCGTTCCTGGGATCACGGCTGGCTTCTCCACTCCCGGGCCTCACCCTCCCTCAATGCTCCACGCCCACGCTTCTCAGGGTCTGCATCCCCTCCAGCTCCCTGCTGTGCACGCCTGTGTTCCACCAGCCCCGGATCCGCCCAGCCCCTGAGGAGCCCCCATCCAGTGTGGGGGAGAGTCTGTGGCTTGGGGACAACCTCCCTCCCTGAGCGCCCACCTCGCTGCTGGCGGGCTGCTTATCTCCCCGCCTTCTTGCCTCGGTTTCCACTTGCGTCCGTCTTTTCTTAAGCTCTCCTCACGTCCACGCCCCTATTAGATAAAGGGGCACAAGGCTCCGGAGAGCTTGGGTGACCCGCTGGGGACCGGCAGCTGAAAGCGGCGGTGCCCGACCTGGCCGCGGAGGGGCGCTGTGGGCAGGTCTCGCCGGCCCGCGGCCCCGCCCCGGCCCTGCCCCTCCAGGCCGCGCCCCGCCCCCGCCCCGCCCCTCCAGGGACGGCCCCGCCCCCGGCCGCCCCGCCCCGGCTCGGGCGGCCGGAGGACCCGGAGCGGCGGACCCGGAGCCCGCGGCGGCGGCGGAGACGATGTGGTTCTTTGCCCGGGACCCGGTCCGGGACTTCCCTTTCGAACTCAGCCCGGAGCCCCCCGAAGGCGGCCCGCCGGGACCCTGGGTTCTGCACCGCGGCCGTAAGAAGGTGAGCGCGGCCGCGCTCCGCAGGCCGCGGCCGACCTCGGCCTCGCCTAGCCCGTGCCGCCGGCTCCGCTGCGTCGCGCCCGGCCTGACGTGGCGGCGAGAGCCTCTGGGGCCGCGGGCCGCGGAGAGGGCCGGGCAGTGCCGACGTGGCGGGCGGGAGGGCTGAGGGACCGACGGGCGCACCGGAGCGCGCCCCTGCGGGCCGAGAGCCCAGGCCCCTGGCCCTCTCTTGGGGCGCCGAAGCTGGGGGCCCTCCCTTAGCGGGCGGCCCCGGATCCCGCCGCTCACGGCCGTGTTCTCCCCCAGGCCACGGGCAGCCCGGTGTCCATCTTCGTGTATGACGTGAAGCCCGGCTCGGAGGAGCAGACCCAAGTGGCTAGAGCTGCCTTCAAGCGCCTCAAAACTCTGCGGCACCCCAACATCCTGGCCTACATCGATGGGCTGGAGGTACCCCCAGCACCCGCAGATTTGCCGCCTCCACCGGGCCCCTCCCTCCCCGCCCTGAGACCCCGTGTCCCCCTCCGCAGACAGAGAAATGCTTCCACGTGGTGACGGAGCCCGTGACCCCGCTGGCAACGCACCTCAAGGCCGGCGCAGAGGCGGGGGGCCCGAAGGAGCCGGAGCTGTCCTGGGGCCTGCACCAGATCGTGGTAGGTGGGGGCGGCGGGGCGAGCTGGGCCGGGGGCCCGGCTTCTGGGCCGTGATGGCTCCTTCTGCCCCCAGAAAGCCCTCAGCTTCCTGGTCAACGACTGTAGCCTTATCCACAACAATGTGTGCGTGGCGGCCGTGTTCGTGGACCGAGCCGGAGAGTGGAAGCTCGGGGGCCTGGACTACATGTACTCGGCCCAGGGCGACGGCGGGGGCCCTCCGCGGAAGGGGGTCCCGGAGCTCGAGCAGTATGACCCCCCGGAGCTGGCCGACCCCAGCGGCAGAGTGGCCACAGAGAAGTGGTGGGTGCCCTGTTCTGTCCCCTTCCGGACCCCGAGACTGGCGAGCAGCCGCCTGTCCCCTGCTGCCCGGCCACGGAGGGAACCAGTGCCCCGGTGGGGCCACTCCCTGCTCCCAGGGTCTTCAGGGTGGTCGGGCAGGGCTGTGAGTGGGTGGCTCTGAGTTTGCAGACTCGGTGACCAGGGGTAGGCCCCTCACTTGGTTCATCTGTCGAATGGGGCTGCTGCAACCTGCCCCTTGGCGGGCCTGGCGCCCTGGCGTCCCTGGCAGTTCTGGGTCCCTGGCACAGGTCGGCAGACATGTGGCGCTTGGGCTGCCTCATCTGGGAGGTCTTCAACGGGCCCCTGCCCCGGGCGGCCGCCCTGCGGAATCCTGGGAAGGTAAGTGGGTGGCCCCTGGCTGTCCCGCCCAGCCTCTGGGAGCCAGCTACCCCCGCCCTGACGGCCGGCCCTTCCCGTGCAGATCCCCAAGTCGCTCGTGCCCCACTACTGCGAGCTGGTGGGCGCCAACCCCAAGCTGCGCCCCAACCCAGCCCGCTTCCTGCAGAACTGCCGGGCGCCCGGCGGCTTCATGGACAACCGCTTTGTGGAGACCAACCTCTTCCTGGAGGAGATTCAGGTGGGCCCCCCGCCCCCGGCGCGGGCCTGCGTTCCTCGGCCGGGGTCTCCTATGGGCAGACCCTCGAGACGAGCCTGGGCTGCCGGCGGGCGTCCAGCCCTGGCGCCTGCTCTCGCCCGCGTGTGGCTTCCCCTGGCTGACGCGCGCCTGGCGAGGAAGGGGTCGGCACAGACCGTGCCTTAGTATCCACCGGAGTGGGGCCAGAGCCCGCCCCACACCCCAGGGTATCAGCGCCCACGGATGCGAGTGAGTCCCTTCTGGCAACGGCATAGGACTTTCACCGAACCCACGCGCGTCTCTTTTCCTGGGCTCAATACTACGTGGACGGCCGTAAGCAGCTGTTACGCCCTGCTGTTTGAGAAATCACGGCCCAAAAAAGTCCGTATGCGTTTGCTGTAGATGCAGCTTTTAGAAAAATGCTTACTCATCCAGTTGAAAGGCAGAGTGACAGAGGGAAGGAGACAGAAAGCTGTCTTCCGTGTCCTGGTTCTCTCCCCAGATGGGGCCGGGCCTTGCGTCCGGGGCTCCCTGTGGGTGCAGGGCCGGGACTGGGGCCGTCTTTCGCTGCTTTCCCAGGCGCGTTAGCAGGGAGCTGGCTGGGAAGCAGAGTGACCCACCTGTGCTCCGGGACGGGCGCTGGTGGCCCAGGCAGCAGCTAACCCGCCGGGCCAGAGCTCCGGCCCCACGGTGCCATTCGCTGCGGCCGTCCTCCGAGGGTTTTCCCTGCGCTTGGCTGAATCTGCGCCCGGCCGGCCATGCGGTGCCCGCTCCCAGCTCCGGTGCCCGCTGGTTCCTGCTGTTCCAGCAGCTCCGCGGGCTCCGCTCACGGACGGGACAGCCCTCCATGCCGGGCGGGGAGGAGAGACCCAGGTCCCTGCCCCAGGATCTGGCGAGGAGTGAACAGGGCCTGAGTGAACAAGGCCTCGGTGTGGGAGAGGAATCCGGTGCCCCCCCCCCTCCGGGTACGCGCAACGACAGCCAAGGCGGGGTGCTTTGAAGGACCTGAAGGTGCGGGCCTGGGGGGAGCTGTCCGCTTAGCCCCTGGCCTCAGTTTCCGTAGCTGTGACGTGGAGAGCCGTGGTCCCGCTGGCCCGCAACGCTGTTGCCGGGTGCGGAGAGGCAGGTCCTGCTCTATGCCCCACTGTGTTGCTGTGTGCGGGGGCACCTCCACCTGGATGGGATGGAGTCCCTGTCCTGACGTGGGGGAGGGGGAGGCTTTAGCCAGTGGCCCCTGGGCCTCCCGGGCGGGGCGAGCGCCACGGGCACCTGGATCCGTGAAGCTGTCCGCACACGGCTGGCCGTGCCAGGCTGCCCTGCTCAGACTTCGCAGCAGGAAGGCGGCTGACTCTGGCCGGCTCCCAGGGAGCCGTGGGAGAGCAGGGGCCCCGCTTCCGGTCGGGGGCAGCTGTGACTCCTGGTGTGTGCCCTGGACATGGTGTAGCCTCTCCCTGGGTCTTGGCCCCCGAACCCTGTGGTCAGAGCCACTGCAGGGCCACGCAGGTCCTCCTTGTCCCCCGCCGGAGGTTGCTGCTCCTGGGCCAAGAAGCGGCTGTGGGGGAGGCTGTACAGGGACTGTGGGCTGGGTTGCGGTCCCTGCCTGGCCGTTCTGGGCTTCTGACCTTGGCCCTCAGCCGCCTGCTCTGTGGCTGGGGAGTGCCGGCCTCTCGGAAAGGCTCCGTGCAGCAGTGCCCCGGGTCAGCCCTGCCTGGTGCTTCCTTGCTGTGCGGCTCTGGACAAGCTCCTTGCCCTCTCTGTGCCTTGGCTTCTACTCATAAAGCAGGGGGAGGTGGATCTGAGGCTTTCGCGGTCACTCCTGTGCTGAGAAAGCGTGAGTGGGGGCTCCAGCCTCACACAGAGGTGGGGGCTGCAGGAAACCACCGAGCCGTGGCTCTGCAGGACCACCCGCTCTGGGGTAAACGCCACTGCTCCCTCGGCCACGAACTCCGCCCAGCCTGGGGCCCCAGGGGCCCAGCCTGCAGTCCTGGGAGGAGTCCCTGGGGGCTGGGTCTGCAGTCCTGGGGGGAGTCCCTGGGGGCTGGGTCTGCATTCCCGGGGGGAGTCCCTGGGGGCTGGGGCTGCAGTCCCGGGGGCCCCAGCCTGGAGTCCCTGGGGTGCTCAGCTTGCAGTCCCGGGGGGGGGGGGCCCAGCCTCAAGTCCTGGGGGGCGCCAGCCTGGCCAGGGCCGGGAAACCAGGTGAGCTCCTCCACCTCCTCCAGCGTCAGTTTTGGCATCCTTGCAGTGGGTTCCCGGTAGGCGTCCTGGGGTGGCTGAAGGGCTCCCTGGCCAGCCGCACCTCCCGAGGGGCTGGCCCAGCCGTGCCGCGTGCCGTCCCCACGCCAGCAGCTCGCACGCGCCTCTTTCGGCTGAGTCCTCGGCCGGGCCAGTGGAGCGGGCGAGCCGCCGTCCCACTTGGCAGAGACGGGAGCTTGCCCAGGCGGGCGCAGCAAGTCTGGGAGAGAGGGCCCGGGCCCCGCAGGCCTAGCTCTGGGAGACGGGGCCCGGGCCCCGCAGGCCTAGCTCTGGGAGAGGGGGCCCGGGCCCCGCAGGCCTAGCTCTGGGAGAGGGGGCCCGGGCCCCGCAGGCCTAGCTCTGGGAGAGGGGGCCCGGGTCCCGCAGGCCTAGCTCTGGGAGACGGGCCCCGGGCCCCGCAGGCCTAGCTCTGGGAGAGGGGCCCCAGGCCCCGCAGGCCTAGCTCTGGGAGAGGGGGCCCGGGCCCCGCAGGCCTAGCTCTGGGAGAGGGGGCCCGGGTCCCGCAGGCCTAGCTCTGGGAGAGGGGGCCCGGGCCCCGCAGGCCTAGCTCTGGGAGAGGGGGCGCGGGCCCCGCAGGCCTAGCCCCGGCGCTGCCGGACCGGCCTCTTCCCCCGCTGTCCTCGCTCCGCCAGATCAAAGAGCCGGCCGAGAAGCACAAGTTCTTCCAAGAGCTGAGCCAGAGCCTGGACGCCTTCCCCGAGGCCTTCTGCCGGCACAGGGTGCTGCCGCAGCTGCTCACGGCCTTCGAGTTCGGCAGCGCCGGGGCTGTGGTCCTTACGCCCCTCTTCAAGGTGCGTGGGGAGGGGAGCGGGACGCTCGGGCCAGCGGAGCCGTGGGGCAGGAGCTGACCTGGCGCGGCTCAGCTGCCAGAGACACGGCCTGGGGCTGGGCAGCCTGGTGCGGGTCGACCCCAGCCCGCAGGGCGAGGGGCTCCTCGCTGCCTCCCAGTGGCTGAAGCCAGGGTGCCCAACCGTCTATGGAGATGTATTCCCTTGGGGAGGGAGGCCCTGGGCCTCCAACCCCAGACCCTTGTCCCAGAACCCTCAGCCTCCCTCCCGTTGCCCAGAACAGACCCCCTGGAGTGACCCATCCGCCCTGCCCCAGGGCCCAGGGGTCAGCTGCCACCACCCTCCTCCCCTCCCCCCGACCACCCAGCACCCAGCTCTCCTGAGCCCCGTGCGGGGGCCCTCACCCAGAGAGAGGAGCCCGGAGATGGAGGAGCTGCCGAGGGCGTGCCCCCCAGCCAGCAGGCAGCGCGGGAAGCTGGGGCGGGGCTCAGGGGCGGGGCTGGGCCTCTCCCCTGCAGGTGGGTGAGCGCCTGAAGGCCGAGGAGTACCGGCAGCAGATCGTGCCCGTGCTGGTCAAGATGTTCTCGTCCCCCGACCGCGCCATGCGCATCCGCCTCCTGCAGCAGGTGGGTCCTGGGGAGCTGCCCCGCCCCCCCCCCCCCATGTGTGCACTCGTGAGGACCGGGAGCGGAGCTGTCGCGGGGCTATTTGGCAGCCGGGGGACGCCCTGCCAGGCTGCAAGGCCTGGGTGCCCCCAGCTCCTGGCCCGGGGACTCCTGCACTTAGAGTGGGGGTCCGGTCTCTGCCGGGAGCATCAGACTGATGGGCTTTAGACTGGGGACCCCTGTGACCCAGGGCGTGGCTCCCTGGTGGCTCCCAGGCCCCGTCCAGCTGCGCATGGACACATCCCTGTCAGGGCCAGTGCAGGCTCTGAGAGGGGCCAGTGCAGGCGGCGGCTAAGAGGCCCAGGAGCCAGCCTTGCGGCTCCCGGGCCCTGGCTCTTCCCAGTGGCCCCTGCTCTCCACACGGGCCTGAGGCAGGGGACCCAGGAGGCTGACCTGGCAGGCCAGTGCCTGCTGAGAGTGGCCCCGTGGCTTCGGGGGACGGGAGGGTTTGACCAGTTCTCCCACCCGACCCTGGGCCACAGATGGAACAGTTCATCCAGTACCTCGATGAGGCGACGGTCAACACCCAGATCTTTCCCCACGTCGTCCACGGCTTCCTGGACACCAACCCTGCCATCCGGGAGCAGACGGTCAAGGTGGGTGTGGCTGGGCCCGGAGGGGGCTCAGCTCAGGCCTCGGAGGCCTCGAGTCCGGCCTGTGTGTCGGAGCAGGCTGTGGAAGGGGCAGGTGTGTCCACGCGGGCCAGGCTACGGGGGCAGCCCAGCAGCTGAGGGTGTGGAGGAGGGCGAGGAGGGGGAGGAGAGCCAGGAGGGCGGGGAGGGCGAGGAGGGCGGGGAAGGCGAGGAGGAGGGAGGGGAGGGTGAGGAGGAGGGTGGGGAGGAGGGCGAGGAGGGGGAGGGAGGGGAGGGGGAGGAGGAGGGAGGGGAGGAGGGCGAGGAGGGGGAGGGAGGGGAGGGTGAGGAGGGTGGGGAGGAGGGCTATGAGGGGGAGGGAGGGGAGGGTGAGGAGGGTGAGGAGGAGGGCGAGGAGGGTGGGGAGGAGGGTGGGGAGGAGGAGGAGGGCAAGGAGGGAGGAGGAGGGTGAGGAGGGAGGGAATGGCGGGGAGGGAGGAGGAGGGTGAGGAGGGAGGAGGAGGGTGAGGAGGGAGGGAATGGCGGGGAGGGAGGAGGAGGGTGAGGAGGGCTGGGAGGGTGAGCCGTTTCCAGAGCAGGGCACGGGCTGGGCGCTCGGCAGTTGAGGTGCCCGGAGGACGTCTGCGCCTCCCGCGGCGAGCCTGGTGTGGTCCCAGCTTCCTGCTGGTGCGCGCTCACTACTGCCCACAGGGGAGCCCGATGGAGGCCCTGGCGCCGGCTTCCGCCTCGCCCAGCCGGCTGGTGCAGGCGTTTGAGGGTGAACGGCAGATACTCCTCTCTCTCTTCATCTCTTTCTGCCTTTCAAATAAAAATAAAGCAAAGCAAACAAGGGTCGAGGGAGACCCTGCTGAAGAGGGCTCCCTAGGGAAAGGAGACCGGTGAGCCCCAGGAAACGGAGGAACGGCCTCCCTGCGCTAGGGGCGCACGCGCAAAGCCCTGAGGCTGGGGCGGCCTGGAGTGCGGGAGTAGCAGCAAGGGTAGCGTGGCCGAGGGGGTACTGGGTTGGGGGCTGGGGTCTCGTGCAGGGCGTGGGGGGCCTGGCACACACCCTGGGTCCTCCTGACTAGAGCAGGGCCGTGGCTGGGTGGAGAGTGGCCCGTCAGGGCAGAGGACACGGCCCAGGGCTGAGGTGGCCCCGCTGAGCCGTGGCCGGGGCTGGCTGCAGGTGGAGGGAGGGGAGCCGGTGCCGTTTGCTCTGGGGCTCCTGGCCCGGGCGGTTGGACGGCTGAGTAGCCACTCCGTGAGAGGAGGCTGGGTGTCCCCCGTGGGCGGCTGGCGAGTGGGGGCTGGAGGTTGCACCCCTGGGCTTGCCGGCGTTGAAGGAGGCCTGAAACCGGCTCCAGGGTCCCGACGGGACGCAGTGAGGGGAGCGGCCGGCCACGGGAGAGGGGGACCTCGGGGGCCTCAAACTGCTACGCCGGGTGTAGCCGCGTGGGGGCGACCTCGGCCCCAGCTGGGGGGGGGTGAAGGCGCCAAGGGCGGGGGAGAGAAGTGGGGGGGTGCGAGGGGGAGCGGCGACGCGGGTGTGGGGTGGGGCCGGGGTGGGGGTGGTTTGGAGGGTCAGGCGGCTCTGTTCGGTGCCCAAGGCCACCGCGGCCACCTCAGGGTCCCCGGGCATGTTCTGGCCCCGGCTCTTGGCCTGCGTGCGCGCCCCGCTCCCACCGCGCCCTCTGCCGGCAGTCCATGCTGCTCCTGGCTCCGAAGCTGACCGAGAGCAACCTCAACGTGGAGCTGATGAAGCACTT